CCCTGCCTCTTTCCCCTTGACATATCCCATCTCCACTAGAGCCGTGGTGTCCTCAGGTCAAAACACTGCCACTCTGTCAGCTGCTCTCCTCCCGGAGAACATCAAAAGAAGATTTGCCAAGGAAGAAAAAAAAGAAAAATAAAACCTTCAGGAGGGCACATGGACTCACATGGGAAGCCTGAGATATCCCATCTGCAGAGACCTGAGTGCGTAAAGCTACTGCCCAGAGCAGTACTCTCTCTGCAGCCATCTCAAGCCCTTTATAGCCAGAAGGGACTGTGCAGGGTTAGGGCTGGCTCTTGGGGCTATTTGCACCATCTAGCTCAGGGGCAAACTCCATCATGACCCTCCGAGCCAGCGGGTTTGTGGTCTTGAGCAGTTCAGCTGCAGATGGCCGGGTACCAGGGCTGGTTTTGCTGCTCTTCTTCTGTAGCAGGGCCTTAAAATCTTCATTCCTGACTTCCCCGTGCTGACCACCACTGCAGGGGACTCGCTGGTTGGAGACCCTGAAGTCTTTACGGGTGAGTGGGAATTAGATCGGCTGCCAAAAGTGTCTCCAGGTTCCTTCCACCCAAGCACCTTCCTCTTCGACCTAAGCACCAAAGAGATGTGTGTTGGGAACAGCCCTGGGCAAGGGCCGCCACCTCTTAGGATGGGGTGAGTTGCTACAGCAGTGCCCTGCCATGGGGTGGGGGAGCATCTAAAGGATGAAGGACAAGGTATCTACCCAGCTGTGGCTGTGGCTGTGGCTGTGGCTGCTCAGCCAGGGAAACAGGACAACCAGTCCATTTGGTGGCTGGGTAATGAACTGAGCTACTACCTTCAAGTGCTGTCCTGGTAGATAGGTCCAACTTGCCCCAAAATTGATAGCTGAACAGACCCTGTTCGCAGGCTGGTGACTGAGCCTGGTTACAGATCCCACTTGTCAGACTCAGGAAACGAAACTTTCCCTCTCAGAAGTGCATGAGGCTGCAACAACCTCCCTGGGGATTACCCTCAATTTGTTCTTAAGCATCCACCCTGGTGCAGAAAATATGAGGCATGGGAGGAGAGCTGTACCCAGCTCTGTGACTATGGATGGGCACATCCGGCTTGACCGGCTGTGCCCAGGCAACCATACCAGAGCTGCTGATGTCCCTGGCCCTACCTGTGGATCACAGTGAAGAGATCCTCTGTCGTGCGGGATGCTACGAACACATCGTCATCCTCCTCCGCAATGGAGTCAGCTGTCTTGTGGCTTGCAAAGCTCTTTTCCTGTGCGCTGGCCTCTGTTGAGCTGCCTGAGCACAGGGAGGAGAAGCAGCTGTGAAATGCCCTGCATGGGTGTGGGGTGATGCAGAGGGGGACCTCCTCCATGGGCCCCTTTTACCTGGGTTAAAACAAGATGTGGGCGCAGGGAAGGGAGGGATGGTGTGGAGGGGCACTCACCTTGCTCAGAGGGGGTCTCGCCACCTTGCGATGTGACCAGGGCCTCCGGTGGAGGCAGGTCGTCGGCATCTGGGTCGCAGCAGCTGGGGTCGGCGTCCAGCGTGATGATGGGGCTGGGGGTCAGTGCCTGGTCCCCTGTGCGGGCCCCCTGCTGAGCTGGGGCTGGTGTGAGTGGCAGGTAGAGCACGCTGGGCTTCTTGGGCACCGGTGGGGGCACCTTGGACTTCCTCCGCTCCCCCTCAGTGGCACCACTGCGCTCTGGATGTGTCTCATCCTCCAGGCTGCCCTGTGAGAGCCGCCGTGGCCCCACCAAGGCTGGTGTCGAGAGGGGCTCTGCTGGACTCCTCCTCAGCTCCCCTTTCCGCAGCACCATGAAGCTGTCCTTCTCCTTGGCAGTGATGCTTGGTGGGGATGTGGGGGAGAGGGGACCCTCCTCCCGCAGGGCCAGGGGCTTGGGCAGGATACTTGGAGGCCGTTTGGCCAGTGGTGGCTTCTCTGCCACAGGTGGCTTCACCTTCCTCTCGGGCACAGAGGAGGGACCGTGTGGCGGCTCCTCGCCATGGTCTGGGCCGTCCGCGTTGTCCTCCGGCTCTGACCGGCTGATGGAGCGCAGGCGGACGGACTGCAGGTCAGACTGCGTGACCATGGGCATGATGGGCTGGATGGGGCTGGTCTTCTGGGCCAGCTTGGTGCCGAAGGTGGAGTCAGAGTGGTGCCGGCTGACTTTCGTCTTCCCCTTCAAGGAGATCTTCAGCCCTGAGAGATCAAGATGGGCGGGCGGTGTGAGTGGCAGGTCAAAGGACAGCCTGGACTTGGGGCTCCTCTCCATGGGGGATGTGGCGGGCAGTGAGGACTTCCTCTCAGGGACCAGTGGCCTCACACGCACCTGGTGTGGGGAGTGCCCAAGGATCGTGGATGTGGGGATGGTCGGTGTTGGGGTCTCTGACTGGCTAGAGTACCCACTGGATGGGGACATCAGCCCAGTGCGCCTACCCGGGGAAGAGGTTTTGAGGTCCACCTCTGTGGAGAGTTGGGAGGGTGTTGTGGCCCTGGAAATAGAGGGGGATGTGAGGGACTCAGAGCTGCCCCGTGCTTTGATGCACTCAATCACTGTGGTCCCTGTCGCTGTGCTGGAGCCAGAGAGTGACCGGTAGGGATCGCCAGTCTTCCAGTCCGTGAGATACCACTGGTGGGAGAGGGCCACACTGTCGATCTCTCTGCCTGCCCTCCCCTGTGGGTCTGCGTGCACCAGCCGGTGGCCCTGAGGGTCTAGTGGGATGCACAGGCTCTTGGGTCTCTGATCCTTTGGCAGCGCAGGGCCAGATCCCGCTGAAGTAACTTGCTCATCCTTAATCAGAGAGACGCTGCGTGTGGGCGGTGAAGGTTTCTTCTTTGCCTTCTTGAGGGAGATGCTTTTGGAGCGTCGCCTCTGCTGAGTGTCTTGTTCCAGGCCCAGGGAGATATTATCGGTGCTTGTGCTGCCCTCGGAGCTGGCACTGGGGTAGTTCAAGGTGTAGTTGGCACTGCCCCTCCGGTTCTCGCCATATGTGATGTCCATGGAGCACAGGGAGCCCGAGTCAGTGGGCACCGACAAAGACCGCTCACGAAACCGGCAGGCTCCCCGGTCCACCTCCAGGCGTGATGGCTCCATCTCTGTCTCTGTCTCCTCTTTGCTTCCTGGCAAGAAATTCACTCTAGTTTCTCGGCCCTCGCACCCCTGGCTGCCTGTGGTGGTTGGGGGGAACTCGGGCACTGTACAGGAGAAAGAGCTGGGCCCATTGCTTCCCACGTGCTCCTCCTTTGCAATGAAGAAGGAGGCTGCCTGGTCAGTGTTCACGGGAGAGTCCAAGTTGGGTGATGCACTGGAGCTGCCTGGAGAGGCACATGCAGGCCCCTTGCTCAGGCCTGCAGCAGGGCCGGCGGGACTTGCGTAGCTGAAGGAACCGGCACTCCATGGTGGGGAGAAGGTGGAGCCCTGGGGCCCGTTGCAGGCACCACTGTAAGTCATGGCTGTATTGTCCATCTTGATGGGTGGCTGGTAGCACCGTGCCTGCAGTGTCTCCCCAAGATCACTGAAGGTCTTCCTCAGTGGGGCGGAAAGCGGCTGATGGGGACTTATCTCCTGGGTTGGCTTTCTCCCATTAGCAGTCTCAGACATGAAGCTGCAGGACACGGACTCTGCGATGGGTGCATGTGTGTTGAACGTGGGGCCGTTGGTGCTGCCTGTGGGGACACACATAAGCTCCAGTGAACTGGGGCTGCACGGGCCAGAGCTGCCACATGTGCATGGCACTGGGGAGCAGTGACCACACTGGGGCCACTCTAGGCATCTCCCTGCTCTGTTTTCCATCAGCAGGACAATGGTACAGTCCTGCATCTGTGGCTTAGCAGGACCTGGGTGCCACGAAGCCAGGACTATTTTGAGTCCATGGCTGATCTCTGCATCTCTACCAGTGAGTGAAATGTGCTCAGGCTGAGTGGCAGGGAAGGGTTTGAATCCTCCTATCAGATATTCTTAAGACCTGTAAATCGTGGTAGCCATTGCAAAGGAGGACTGCGCCTGGCCTTTGTTAAACCTTAAGTAGGCCTGAGAATTGTTGACTGAGACATGCCAGGGACTGCATGGATGATTTAGCAGCTGAGCTAAGAGTCTCTGTGCATGAGGACATCGGCCCCATGGGGACCAAAGTGCTGACTCAGTCATGTCCTGCAGGTGGGAGCATGGATGGGGCCCACAAAGAGCAGAGCAAGCCACCACCACTAGGGTCAGGGAGGGATGAGATAGCTCACACAGGCCCCACACAGGTTGCATCTCATCTGTGTTACCAAATCTCAGAATAGTCTAGCTGGGAAGGGACCTAGGGAGTCTGGTCTGGTGCTCTGCTCAGAGCACATCCAGCCACATCAGGATGCTCAAGGCCATGTCCAGTTGAGGTTCAATCCCCCCCAAGGAAGGAATCATGACAACCTCTCTGGGCTCTCACCCCAGTGTCTGACCACCCACATGGGGAAAAACTTCCTTCTACCTATGAGAGTTTCCCTCGCTCCAGCTTGTGTCCTGTCCCAGTGCACCTCTGAGAAGAGGCTCCAGTTTCCTGCACCCTCCTGTAGGGCATGGTGGGTCCCCAAGTCACGACAGACGCTGTCTGGACGGGGGTCAAACATGGGTCCATGGCAGTGCTGCCATAGGGGGCCAGCCAGGGGCCACCATGAGCATCCTCAGCATGCCAGCATGGGCTGCCTTGCCAGCTCCAAATGAAGACTGAGGCAAGGTTGGCACTCTGTACTTCCAGTGCTCTGCATAAGGGGCCTGTCCATGGCCAGGGGTGAGCATGGGCCTGGGACTCAGGCTGGAGTTGCCTGCACTGAATCTAGGTGACTCCTTGCTTTGGGATCACTGGGAGAAATCTCAGTGGCCTTCCCACCCCACAAATGTGTAGGACCATGATGTGGGGTGCTGAGCGCAGTATTGGCCCTGCACTGCCTGCTTGGGGAGAGGTGGAATTCCCAGCAAGAGGAGGGAGTTTGCCTTAGATAGAAATCTCTCTCTCATTGCACCATCTCTGCCTTTTCCCAGGGTCATCTCACATAGCTTACAAATTACAGCCTAATTGCTTGGCAAATGCTTTTGTTTGAGAGAGGAACTGTTGGGGCTGGGAACAGGAGCACTCACAATCTGGCAACAGCTCCTCTCATGCCCATGTGGGCAAAATCCCCATGGTCTGTCCATCCTCCCTCCACACAGGACACACAACCCCA